AGCCCCATTTGACAGCTTTGGTCTGCAACAGTTCAGACCCAGGGAAGTGATCTTTGCTCAATGACTTCTAAACCCTGCCTTTTCTACAGATCACAGCAGAGCGAGTCTGCCTGCGCCAGCGGGAGAGCTGCCTGCACGGAACTGCAGACGCAGTCGGCCGTGGTGGAATTCATCATGGACCACGCAGACGTCCTCTTCTGCTCCACATCTGGACCTGACCTGACTCACCTGAGCAGGTGAGTGTCTTCCTCCATTAGCTTTATCTTGGTCAGACACCTGGATCAAATGCAGGCCTTCTCCAAGTCCTTTGAAATATGCTTTTACTGCAAGGGGACAGCAGAATCCTGGGCTTAGGTTAGAATCTGGCACCCTGTTGCTGGATGCTGAGAATGTGCAAGCCCAAATGTGACAAGAAGAAAACCATCACCATCATTATGATGTTTTGCAAGCAGGTGAAGCTTGGTGAAAGTGTGGCAGCGAAGCTTTCTGAGTTCACCGTACCTGCTTTCTGGAGTTTTTGTTTGCCTGTTTCGATACAGGGAGCTGCTCCTAATTACGACTGCGTCCTTTGCCACAAACACACCTCTGAGCACATGGTTGTTTTGAGCTGCTCTTCTTGCAGTGGCTCGGATAAGCAAATCTGAGAAAAACACAGCACCTCCCGGACCTGTGATGGCTGTGCAGCCGCTTTCTGATCCTGGCTCTCACCTGTGGTTTTCCCTTACAGGGCACAGTTCTCTTTCAGGGCCCCAGTCTGTGCGGGCGTCTTCTCCTGCCACAGAGCTGCTCAGCCTGGAGGAGGCGCAGGCACGGAGGCGAGGCCACAGCATCTCTCCTGTCATTGTGACACAGAGCAGGGACGTGGAAGTGGAAGAAGGCCCTACAACTTAACCGGGCAAATTCCACACAGCCATCGACTTTCCACCTGAAAGGTAAAGATGACTTCCTTTTCCGGCACCTATCAGCATTGTTGGGGTGGGTTTTTGTGTTTGTTTCTTTTTGTTTTGTTTTTTTTTCCCTCCCCCCCCCCCATTACTTCTAGCGCCAAAGCTTGCTGAAACTCAGTTAAACTGATGGTGCCTGAAGTGTTGCAGTGAATCTCCACTTTTTGGACTGTGAGATTCAGCTAGCATTCAGTTGCCCGCCAGGCAGGCAGTCACGAGATGCACAAAGCCACGCTGACGTCTGCCCTGCCCTGTGCTGGCTCTACCTGGAACCATTGTTTTCCAGATTTCAGGGCCACGTGCCTGAATCCAGTTCCGGTTCACCTCGAAACAGAGCTGTTGGTCAGACCTGCGGGCACTGGAAACTAGACGTGGCAGTGAGATGGGGCCGATGAGGTGTTAATGTCAGAGTCAGAGATGCTTTTGAAGTTCCTTTATGGCTGCACAATTCCTCAGCAAGCAGCTACGCCTGCCAGCCCAATCAAAGCCATCCTTAGATGCTGTCCTGTACAGCTGTGGAGCGTTTGCTCACATGCTCTGCATCTTGCTTGACACAGTTGAGGAGAATTTAGCCAGCAAGACTTCAGGGCTGAGCTGTGGGAATGGAACCATCCTCGACTGTTTGAAACAGAGCGAGTTTCTAAGCTGTGTTTCAGCAGGAACCAGGCGGTGCTAGGAACAAGCAACTGTTGGCAAGAGCTCAGTGCAGCTCTTCCCTCACCCTGCGCCACGGACGACTCCCACCATTCCCTGTTTCCTCTCTCCAGACCAAGTCCACCCAGCAGGATGAAGGAATCACCAGCTGGCTGTTGGTGTTCCTGCTTCAGCCTGGGAAAACCATCCTCTGGGGCCAAACGGCAACCACAGCGCCATCCCAGGGAGCCCTCAGAAACCAGACGTTGTAGTGCTGGCAGGTAAGGGTGCAAATCCTGCTTTCAACACCCTGCTTTTCAGCAACGTAGAATTCGTGCTGTCAGTGGGCTCGATTGTCCTTCTAGTGTTCCAGCCCATACATAACATCTTCAGTTCATTCCTGATCAAGAACCACTTTGATAATTCGGCTTGTGAACGTTTGGCACTAACCCTTGTGTATCCTTCCCAGGTGAATTGAGCCCTTGTCAAGCCAAAAGATCCAGAGCAAATAGTGATGATGCGCTGTGTGCTTCCACACATGGAGAGCTCTTAGGAAGCACAAATGGCTGCGGTTCAGATGACAGCCTTCAACGTAACAACGAGGATGGAGAGAAGGAGCTCATCCAAGTCCAAGTCCTCGTTTCTCCCGGCTCTGCTGAAGTTGCTGACCCAAGGCTGCCAGACACCACAGGCACCAGCCTGGACTGTGACCCAGTGCCTCTGCAGTGCAGCCCAGCCCAAGCACAGCCCGGGTGCCCCGACAGCAGCACCTCCGTGCAGGAGCAGGTCAGCATCAGCAAGGAGCAGCAGAGCCTCTTGGAGGGGGACTGAGAATCAGGCCTCCAGTCCCAGGCACCGTGCAGTGGCTCTGAGAGCTCTGAGCCACTCTCTAGGTGACCTTTCCACCCAAGAGAGGACGATTCCCATCTTTACCCGGACCTCTCACGCCCTCCCATCTTTTCCTTTAATAATAAAAGCACACTTGTGCTCACTCAACGCCTTGACTGCCTGAGGATTTTTCATTCATGAGGACTGGGATGAATGCAACAAACAGCAAGGCACCTCAGCTTGCAACGCTGAGGCTGTGGGGTGTGTGAAGCAGAGCTCCAGGCTTGTTCTTGTTTTGTCTGGCTTTGGGGTGTCTGCAGCTCCCATTTGGTACGGTAGCAAATAATCTCTAGCATCCTGGATGCTGCTCGTGATAACCCCAAGCTTCCTGGCGGTGGCTTTGTGATGCCTTTCAGGCTTTTTGGATGCATTGTGGTGGCTTGGCTGCTCCCTAACACCTCTCTCCTCCGGCCGCGTCCATTCCTGGCTCCCAACCTCTGGGCTGCCTGCACAGATCATCTGCAGTCCTGTCATCAGCACGCTGCGGCAGGATTAGTTCACCCTGACCCAGCGTCTCATTGGTCAGTGGCAATGCCGTCCCGCCTCCGCCAGCCTCTCATTGGTCATCGGAAGCGCTGTCCCGCCCTCGCCAGTCTCGCATTGGTCTTCGGCAGTACTGTCCCGCCTCCGCCAGCGTCTCATTGGTCAACGGCAGTGCCGTCCCACCCCCGCCAGCCTCTCATTGGTTATCGGCAGAGCCATACTGCCCTCGCCAGCGTCTTATTGGTCAGTGGAAGTGACGTCCCGCCCTTGCCAGTCTCTCATTGGTCAGTGGCAACGCCGTCCCGCCTCCGCCAGCCTCGCATTGGTCATCGGCAGCACTGTCCCACCCCAGGCAGCGTCGTATTGGTCATCGGCAGCACTGTCCCCTCCCTGCCAGTCTCTCATTGGTCAGCGGCAGTGCTGTCCCTCCCCAGCAGCCTATCATTGGTCAGTGGCAGCGCCGTCCCGCCCCCACCAGCCTCTCATTGGTCATCGGAAGCACTGTCCTGCCCTTGCCAGTATCTCATTGGTCATCGACAGTTCCGTCCCCCACTCGCCAGACTCATTGGTCAGTGGCAACGCCGTCCCGCCTCCGCCAGCATCTTATTGGTCATCGGCAGCGCAGTCCCGCCCTCGGCAGCCTCTCATTGGTCATCGGCAACACCATCCCACCCCTGCCAGCCTATCATTGGTCAGTGGCAGCACTGTCCCGCCCCAGGCAGCATCGTATTGGTCATCGGCAGCACTGTCCCATCCTCGGCAGCCTCTCATTGGTCAGTGGCAACGCCATCCCACCCCCACCAGCCTGTCACTGGTCATCGGCAGCGCCGTCCCACCCTCGCCAGCCTTTCATTGGTCAGCGGCTGCTCCGTCCCACCCCCACCAGCCTCTTATTGGCCATAGGCAGAGCCGTCCCACCCTCGCAAGCCTCTCATTGGTCATCGGCAACGCCATCCCGCCCCTGCCAGCCTATCATTGGTCAGTGGCAGCGCCGTCCCCCCATCACCAGCCTCTCATTAGTCATCAGCAGCGCCATCCTGCCCCGGTGTGCCTCTCATTGGTCATCGACAGTGCCGTCCCACCCCCGTGTGCCTCTCATTGGTCATAGGCAGCACTGTCCCGCCCTCGCCAGCCTCTTATAGCCTCTGATAAGGCTGTAGTCCAAACCTTGGTGAAGAGTGGTCTTCTGGGGCTCTGTGTCGCCCTCTAAGGCTCCAGTTTTGCCATTCCCGAAGGCAGGTGGCACCGATCCACTGGTACAGGACCCAAGAGAAATTAATGGCACGGCTCTCAACGACGAGGCCCTTCTTTCAGGTTGGGGTGAATCGTAATTTGGAAACACCTTTCTGCCTCCGTGGGCTGCCTTTCTCTTTTGGACTGGATACCTGGGTTTTTGGTGGCTGAATTGAGGTGCGCTGGCTCTTAGCGCTGTTGTTAGCCAAAATATTAACTCTCTCTCTACTTCTATGCTCCTTTTTGAAACAGGCGCCCCAAAGCTGCACAGAATGGAGCAAATTGTCTTGAGGGAGATCACGCGGCACGTGCGGGATGAGTGGGGGATCAGGCCTAGCAGCATGGGTTCACGAAGGGCAGCTCCTGTTTGGCCAACCTGATCTCCTTTATGATCCGGTGACCCATCTGGTGGATGAGGGAAAGGCTGTTGATGTGTTCTGCCTAGACTTCAGCAAAGCTTTTGGCGCTGTCTCCTGCAGCATTCTCCTGCAGAAGCTGGCAGCTTGGATGGCTGCACTCTGTGCTGGGTGAGGAGCTGGCTGGAGGGCCGGGCTCAGAGAGTGGCGGTGAATGGAGTTAAACCCAGCTGGTGACCAGTCCTGAGCGGTGTGCCCCAGGGCTCGGTGCTGGGCCTGTCCTCCTCGATATCTTGATTGATGACCTGGAGGAGGGCATCGAGTGCACCCTCAGTACATTCACAGATGGCAACAAATGGGCTGGAAGTGTGGATCTGCCTGGGGGTGGCGAGGCCACACAGAGGGATCTGGACAGGCTGGAGAGCTGGGCTGAAGCCCATGGGCTGAGGTTCAACAAGGCCAAATGCCAGGTCCTGCACTTGGGCTGCAACAACCCCAGGTGACGCTGCAGGCTGGAGGACGGCATAGAGGAAATGGATCTGGGGGTATGGATGGATGCTGGGCTGAACAGGAGCCCACAGTGTGCCCAGGTGGCCAAGAAGGCCAAGGGCAGCGCTGCCAGCAGGAGCAGAGAGCTGAGCATCCATCCCCTGCGCTCAGCACTGGTGAGGCCGCACCTCGAGTGCTGTGTCCAGTTTTGGGCCCCTCACTGCAAGAAAGACATAGAGGCCATGGAATGCGATCGAAGGAGGGCAACAAAGCTGGTGGGGGGTCTGGAACACAGGGCTGAAGAGGAGAGGCTGAAGGAGCTGGGAACGTTCAGCCTGGAGAAGAGGAGCTCAGGGGAGACCTCACTGCTCTCTATGACTGCCTGAAGGGAGGCTGCAGTGAGCTGGGGGTCGGCCTCTGCTCTCGTGTCATCAGTGATAGGAGCAGAGGGAACGGCTTCAAGCTGCGGCAGGGGAGATTCAGGCGGGACATGAGGAAGAATTACTTTTTGGAAAGGGCGATCAGGCAGTGCAATGGATGCCCATGGAGGTGGTGGAGTCACCGACCCTGGGGGTGTTCAAGGAAAGACTGGATGTTGTGTTGAGGGACATGGTTCAGTGGGAGCTGTTGGTAAGAGGTGAGCAGTTGGACTGGATGGGCTTTGAGGTCTGTTCCAACCTCAGTGATTCTGTGATTCTATGATAAGTGACCCACAGAGCCCCACAGTTGACCTGTAACCCACCAGTGCCCCGCCGTGCCCCACGAGTGACCCACAAGTGACACCGCAGGGACCAGCAAGTGCCCCACAAGTGACACATCAATGCCCCATAAGTCACCCACAAGTGACAACTCAGGGTCCCACAGTTGCCCCACAGCGACCCACAAGTGACACAAAGAGCCCCCCTAGTGATCTGGGACCCACAAGTGCAACCCCAGTGCCCCACATGTGGCACAGCAGTGACCCACAAGTACCCCACAAGTGCCCCAGAGCACCCTACAAGTGACCTGTGACCCACAAGTGGTTCCCCAGTGCCCCACAGGTGACCTACAAGTGCCCCATAAGTGACACATCAGTGCCCCACAAGTGACCTGTGACGTGCAAATGCACCCCACTGCCGCACAAGTGCCCCACAAGTGTCCCTTAAGTGGCACACCAGCAGCCCCTAACTGACCCACAAGTGACCCACAAGTGGCACAGCAGGGACCCACAACTGCCTCCCAAGTGACACATCGATGCCCCATAAGTCACCCACAAGTGACAACTCAGGGTCCCACAAGTGGCACAGCAGCCACACACAAGTACCCTTCAAGTGGCACCGCACTGACCCACAAGTGAACAGTGCCCCACAAGTGCCCCACAAGTGAGACAACAGCACCCCAGTGACCATTTTTTAAATTATATTTATGATTTATTATTTAGTTGGGTTTTTTTAAATTATTTTATTTTTTATTATGCCCCACAAGTGTCACATCAGCGCCCCATAAGTGACTCACCGAGCCGCCGAGTCCCGCCATCCAGCTGGCAGCAAAGTGGTGGCCGCGCTCTCTGCTGCCACCGCGTGGCCCATGCGCGGAACTGCTGCTGCCCGCCGCCGAGGCCCGCCGGCAGCACGATGCATGTGTCCACCAACGCGGAAGCGCCGTTCTGACCGCTCTGCGCAGCTCCTCTGCCGCTCTCTATGGTGCTCAGTCCTCCACTCATAGCAAACACGCACCCGGCAATTTGCGGCAGCCATTGCTTCCACAGAGCGCTGCGGCTCCGGGCCAGGAGCCAATTCTCACACCGCCGGCTCAGCCGTTTTCTCCCCTTCTACCCCGGGAAGCCCCCCCGTCTATTGCCGCCGTTTTAGCCTGGAGCCCAGCCGGGAACTGACCGGTTCGGCTCCCTGCTGCCCCTCACCGCCCCGGGGACCAACAAACATCCCCTTCCACCCCCAGCCTTATGCTGCTCTCCAACTGTTTCAAAGCCTGCACAGCACCAGTGGAACATGAGAGGCTCGGCGCGCTTTGGAGCAATTCAGGGCAGCTTGCAGTGGCTCCGAGGGGCTCCCAGCAGCTCACAGCGGCTCGGAGAGCTTCTGAGCAGCTCGGAGGGGCTTGCAGCAGCTCGGCGCAATTTGGAAGGGCTCACAGAGCTTTGGAGCAGCTCGCAGCGGCTCAGCACAATTCAGAGGGGCTCGCAGAGCTTTGGAGGGGCTCGGAGCAGCTCAGAGCAATTCGAAGCAATTTGCAGCGGCTCGGAGCGATTCCGAGCGGCGCACAGCAGCCCCGCATCGAGCAGTCACACAAAACCACCATCTATGTGCAAATGCGGGCGCTGCAACGCCCTTTAGATACGCACCAGTTTCTGCCCAGCAGACGCAGCTCTGTTGTAGCGCACTGCGGATGCACCAGTTTCCGGACAACACTGCGCATGCGCTGCATTTGATGCCCTACTGCGCATGCGCGAGCATCGCCACCATTTTGCGCATGCGCATAACCGGCAAAAAGACTTCGCAGTCTCGTCGCAGTACCAATTTTTGGCCACACTGCGGCAGAAGAGACCAAAATAAAAAATTCATTGCAGTTCCGATTTCTGGCCACACGATGGCAGCAGAGACCGTGAAATAAAAATAATATAAAAAAAATAAAAAAAATTAAAAAAATAGCAAAAAATAAAAAAACAATAAAATTTAAAAAAAAAATAACAAAAATTTTATAAAAAGATTTGAAAAAATTTAAAATAAAAAAATAATAATTAAAAAAAACCTAAATGTATAACCAATAGATATCAATATGTTATAATCACAATATAATCAAGAGAGTTAGGCAAAGTAGACAACAATAACAAAAAGAGAATAAGTGGCAGAGCTTACCCTTCAGCTGGGCTCACCACAAAACACCCAGAGAGGCGATCTGCAGCAGAGATCCTTCCCCTCCGGCAGCCAGCTCTTCAATAGGTCTAGGAGGGGTGCAGCCAGGCTCCACCCCTTCCGGCAGCACAGGAGAATTGCCTTCACCTGTGCTCCTCTGGCTGACTCACGGCTCGCCTCAGGCGATCAATCAGAGCTTCAGGCCGTGACTCTGCAGTTCCCATACACTAAATAACAAATAATAAATCATAAATAATAAATCATAAATATAATTTAAAAAATGGTCACGTGTGGGTCACTTACTGGGCGCTTCTGGGTGACTTGTGGGTCACATTTGGGGCAGATGTGGGGCACTGGGGGGGCACTTGTGGATCCCTGCTGTGCCACTTGTGGGTCAATTGTAAGGCGCAGGGGGAGCACCTGTGGGTCATAGGTCACTTGTGGGGCTCTATGGGTCACTTGTGGGCCCCCGCTTTTCCACTTGTGGGTCACTTGTGGCTCAGTTATGGGCCGCTGCTTTGTCACTTGTGGGGCACTGTAGTTGCACTTGGGGGTCACAGGTCACTTGGGGCTCTATGGGTCACTTGTGGAGCACTTATGGGGTGCTGATGTGTCACTTACGGGGCACTTGTGGGGCCCTGCTTTGCCACTTGTGAGTCAGTTATGGGGAACAGATTTGTCACCAGTGGGGCACTTGTGGGGCACTGGGAGGACACTTGTGGGTTACAGGTCACTAGGGGGCTCTTTGTGTCACTTGTGGGTCGCTGTGGGGCAACTGTGAGACCCTGAGTTGTCACTTGTGGGTCACTTATGGGGCACCGGGGTGGTACTTGTGGGTTACAGGTCACTTGCGGGGCACTATGGGTCACTTGCCATAGGGACACATGGGGACTCCGTAGGGACACATGGCTACTCCATAGGTGACGGAGACCAGCTCAAGACTCCTGGGACAGACGGGCTTAAGGCTCTGGTGGCGCAAAAGCAATCTTTATTGGTGTTACAGGCTTTTTATATCTTTTAGCTACAGGAGTATACAATACTTAAATCAGATAACATTCATGCAGCTGACAGCAATACGACATTATTTAATTAGCTCTTTGTGGATTATGACCAGTACAGTGATTAGAAGGTGTTCTATTCACAGAACGTGTTCTGCTCTTGGTCACGGAACGAAGAAGGCGTAACTTATGCTTGCCAGTTTCACATGGCAGTCCTTCCCTTTCAGGAGGGGCCGCATGTTCCCTGTTTGACCCTTTAGGCCAGCCAGGTCTGTTTTGCTTAACAGTCTTCCTCACAAAGGGACACATGGGGACGCCATAGGGACACATGGGGACTCCATAGGGACACATGGGGATGCCATAGGGATACATGGGGACTCCATAGGGACACATGGGGATGCCATAGGGACACATGGGGACTCCGTAGGGACACATGGGGACGCCATAGGGACACATGGGGACTCCGTAGGGACACATGGGGATGCCATAGGGACACATGGGGACTCCATAGGGACACATGGCACGCCATAGGGACACATGGGGACTCCATAGGGACACATGGGGATGCCATAGGGATACATGGGGACTCCATAGGGACACATGAGGTTTCCATAGGGACACATGGGGACTCTGTAGGGACACATGGGGATGCCATAGGGATACATGGGGACTCCATAGGGACACATGAGGTTTCCATAGGGACACATGGGGACTCCATAGGGACACATGGGGATGCCATAGGGACACATGGGGACTCCGTAGGGACACATGGGAATGCCATAGGGACACATGAGGATGCCATGCGGACACATGGGGACTCTGTAGGGACACATGGGGACTCCACAGGGACACATGGGGATGCCATAGGGATGCATGGGGACGCCATAGGACACATGGGGACTCCGTAGGGACACATGAGGATGCCATACGGACACATGGGGACTCCGTAGGGACACATGGGGACTCCATAGGGACATATGGAACTCCATAGGGACACATGGGGACTCTGTAGGGACACATGGGGACGCCATAGAGACGCATGGGGACTCCGTAGGGACACATGGGGACGCCATAGGGACACATGGCACTCCATAGGGACACATGGGGCCGCCATAGGGACACATGGGGATGCCATAGGGACACATGGGGACTCCATAGGAGCACATGAGGATGCCATAGGGACACATTAGGACTCCATAGGGACACATTAGGACTCCATATGGACACATGGGAACTCCATAAGGACACATGGGGATGCCATAGGGACACATGGGGACACCATAGGGACACATTGG